AATTAATTATTGCTTCGATTTGCCGATTCGAGTCTAATGCTATTTCTCATCTCAGATTTCAACTTAAAAAGTTCAACAATGCTCGTAAATACACAAGAAAATAAATAAAGTAAATAAATAAACGGAGAAACTAATTTTTATACAATAAAAACATAAAAGAGCATGCTCAATTATCCATTTGATAGATTTTTAAACTTGTAAAAATATTCTCTTGGATTAATTCAAATTTCTAATGGACACAGCGACAAACTATAAAATTCGCTACGTTTCACGGATTCTCGATCAATTTCTTACAAAACATTAAATGCTTTTAAGTATTTCTACGTAAAATGAAAGCAAGGAATATGTAAAAAAAAAGGGGAGAACCAGCAACTGAACATTACCAGATTATCATTTCCGACCTGTTTAGCACTGATCTCGCGAAAAAATTATTGACAATGCGTTTGCGGTCACATTCAGAAAAAACAAACCAATTAACGCTTTATGAATATATTTTTCGAATAAACAAGTCAATGATGAAGTAGTTTTCTAAGGGAAGTTATAGCGATGATAAGGTATACTTATGCTTTATGCGAATCTTATAACCCAATTTAATACTCGAATAGGTTACTTTTAATCTCTTAATTATCACCTTTTAAGCAAATTTATCGGGAAAATGGAGCTAGAAATTAATGAAACATTTAAACGAACCAGTCATTTTCATAGTTAAACGCCTGTAAAAAAACAAGCGATATCATCTTATAACAGTATCAAATTTATATTAAAAAAACCTGCATAAAAGTATCCTCCTATCCTCCCTCTTAAACAATAGCTATGCTACTGTACAAAACGACTATTACCTTGATCTCAATTATGATTTTAAGATTGTTATCAACCATTTAAAAATACAAAAAAGCTATTAACAAATGTTTCCAAACTAACAATTATAGGATTATTCGGTAATAAAGTTCCGGTTTGCCTGAAAGCACTCCTGCAGAAACAGGATAGGTTTGTTTTTACAGCTATTCAATCCCGTTACACGCTGGATCAACGCTGTATGGTACAGTACAGTACAATGAGATTCTAAATACCTGCGCCGATAATTCACTTACGCTATTTGATTTGGGTTTTAAAAAATATCAATAAGGATATCCGTATAATGTAATTCCGTTTTGTTATAATGAATTTTTTTTTATTAATAGAGAAAAGAGTCGAATTGCCAAAGGTAAGTTTCCATCAGCAAAAATGAGATAAAAATTGATCCTTACGGTAAAATTTCGGAAGCTGCAACTTGCTGGGCGTTTTAATTCGCTACTTTCTAAAAATAATCGAATCGAATAATTCCAGAAATTAACAGAAATTGAAACAACACGAATTCATCTATATGCAAAACAATGTGCTCTTCCAACGATTAAAACATGCTTAGTTAAACAAATTTGTATTATTCACAGAGGATATTAAACAGCTCAAAACAGCCCCGTAAACAAATTTACGGAACCGCTCTCTCTTTCAAAAAATTATTCCGACGTTAACGCGAAACGATTTTCGCCTTTACAAATATTATTTAATTCGCGTCATTTTAAAATTTACTTCAAGCATTTCAACAAACATCTATAAGTTATAATGAGTTACTTCACATTAAATAAGTTACTCGTTACGCGGCCCGGTTTCGTAAGCCAAGCACAGCTTTATAAAATCTAACTTCATTAAATAAAGCATAATCTTACAAAGTCAACGTTACATTAATTAAAACAAAACACATCAACAAAAGTTGATTTTGCATTAAACAATGCGGAGCGTCTACAAATAAGCCCGACTGAGTATTCAGCTAGGCATTTCTATGAAGTTAACTTCACATTAAGCAAGGTACAGACAGCTTCTATAAAATTAACTCCAACTTTTTAAGTGTGCGCTTAATATGATCTTATATTAAGCGAACCACACCATCAAAATTACCTTCCGTCTGAAGGAAGCTAACAAATCCCTATCAAGATAGATATATAAAAGTTAAAATGCTTGACCGATTGTCCCCCACAAAAAACAAAAATTCATAAATTTTCATTTTGTCGACGTTCTCATTAAACAAATTTTAAGAGGTCAATAGCTGAGAAGAGATTTGGTGAAGGTGACCTTCGCCAATTTTTCTAGGGATCAACCTAGTTTGCTAAACAACCAACAGATGGCACAACAGATTCGAATTATTAAATAACCAATATACGAAAATGAGCAGAAACAACCAGCAACAATGGTCACATTCAAACGGATTAATTAATAATTACCGAATGATAACGATTAACCGCGATATAAGGACCGAACTTTTTCTTCCCGAACAATGCGATCGGTAATAATCCGAAGCAAAATAAGAAACGTAGCATCTCGTATAAATTTAATTAACGAAAGTAGAAATTCGCTAAATTCGATATCGGCAATGACTAAGGCCACCGAAATCGCCATAGAGCTTTGGTGCGGTTTACAGAATAAACGAATTAACTGCGCTGCCTCCATTCGTATTTAGTAAATTACATTTTTACCACTTACAGTTTCGATGCTGGTGCTTGATTGCGTAATATGCTGTCCAACCTACAGTCGTTCCGCAATTTATAACGAAGACTTCGCTTTATAAATTGATTTGCCTCTCTTTATTAATTAATACTCTCAAGATGTTCGTCATTTGGATGAATTAAAGTTGGCCCTACCGTAACGGCTCGGTCTGATATATAATAACTCGACGCATTTTTTATGGTATCGTAAACTAGGCAAAGCAATCTGTGACGTAAAATGAGTATCTCTCTATTGCAATTCCTTCAGAGAATCACTTTGAACTCGAGATAGTAAACGGGTCACCATCTGGAACAAATCGACTTAATATAAAAGGTAAATTTGATTCCTCTGGAGATTTATTTTGGATAGAGTTTGGCGCTAAATCGAGTTACTCCATATTGACACTAAGAAAAGAATCGGTTGCTACATTATCTTAATTGAAATAGAGTTAGAAATTCGAATTCATCCTGTATATAAGAGCGAACGATACAAGGAACGTTTTAATAATACGATTACTTGGTGAAAATCATCGATTTTTATCATACTCCAGTGATCGTTCATTAAAGTACGTTCTTAAATCCGTCAGTGAACGGAGTGAAGATTAAGAGATGAAAGAGGAATATTAACCGTGTTCACTAATGTGTTAGGGAAGCAAATGTGTACCGTGCATGTTCTGCTATACGAACGAAATGCCTATCGTCCCTCCGTATTACAATGCAGTAATGGTATCGATCTGTGGAGAAACAGAAAAATCAATGTGATCAAGGTACTAGAATCTAGGTGCCATGTTTGAACAAAGTTTCGTGACAGAGGTCACAACTTCAGGCTAGTATTGACGAATGTTAATCTCTACTCTTCTATTTTGGGATTTTTAACCGTCGTGAAATAATTCGACCGCACGAAGGTCATCTACCACTCAATTTGAACCTCGTTACGTCTAAGTGAAACACTGGTGATCTCGGTTAATTTTTAATGTTCTTACAATGGCAAACAACCGGACAAATAAATCGTTCAAAAATTGACAAATCTATCTTTTAAAAAAATCCGTGCGACTACACAATTTCAAATTGCCCGCTTCCAAAAGGAGAGGTAAAAAGTAACCAATAAACTTAACATTTCAATTGGAAATAAAAATAACAAATGTTTCTTTTTTCTTTCAGGATCCATTAATTTATAAACTATCGTGTAGTTTCGTTCATTGGCCATTAACCGTGAAGTTAAACAACAAAAGGGCGATAAAATTCCTTTAAAGCGTTCTGAATATCCAAAATCATAATGCTACATCTGATTCGATTAAACAAAAGCTGGCAAAATTACTAGATGGCTGCATGTTAACAGTTACAATGGAGTAATAATAACGCTAAACACTAAACGAAATTAATTTCTTAAAAGAGAAAACAATCATTTTGAACTAAAAATTCTTCCAGGAAGACAACTTTGGCCTCCAGCCAATTAATTCCGATGTCCTGCGATTTTTTTTTTGTGTACAGAATATAAAACACCATCGATTTTAATCGGACATAACCCCAAGCGCGTACAGAATGGTATGTGAAGCCTATTTTATCTCTCATCGATTTTGTTAATTCGCCTTTACATGCTGCAATCTATAAATATACCTTAAACAAAAATACAAACTAGTAAAGTGAAGCGATTAGAAGACTGCAACGATTAAAAATAAACTTTTCCTTATAACGCGAAACAATCAAATTAAAGAGTTCAAAGTCCGGTAAATTCTACATGTAATATGTCATATTTAAAGGTAAAAAATAGTAGTAAAAATCGATACGCTTACAACATTATCTGTCACTCTTTGTATCAAAGATCAACAGCGTAGTTCCGATTGTAAAACTGATAGCTCTCATCTTATTTAAACTAACGGAAGATACGAAACAAAATCCTTTCATTATCTATTATTCACAAAGCAATCTATACTGTATATTCTTTCGATGTACAGATATTGGAAAATTTCCGAACTAAAACGAATTCGTTGCCTTAAACGGACAAATAATTTGTTCAAAATGTGCATTTAAAAATTATAAAATCATAATGGATATGGACATTTATAAATATTTTGCCACTATCAAAACACACTTTCTTTTATAATTAAATAAAACAAGAAAACAAATTTTGATTATTTATATATATATATATTTTATAGACATTTTTTTTCCCTCATTTTAAAAAGAAAGCTGATAAAACCAACAAAATATTTGTGTTTCTAATAAATATACATCAAATAAAAATAAATATTTCTCAAATAACTTTTTTTGTAATTTCTGTTTTATTTGTAAAAAATATAAAGTGAATGTTTGTGTTTTTTAAAAGAATGTATTCAACTTAAAAAAAGAATAAACAGAACAAAAGAAAAACACAACTTTGTATTTAACTAACAAAATTCTAACTGAAAACAAGTAAACCTACAACAACAAATGTCTAACCTGTAACAATTAGTGGTATCAGAAGTAAATCATTAGTACAACCTTCTCTCTGTGTCTGGGTGATCACAGCAGGCTGAGGTGTCAGAGCTTGAGCAAACTGACCATAAGGAGCAGGATAGGCTGCTGTATGAAGAGAAACAAAAGAAAAAAATTATCAAAAATGTATAATTATAATATTTCTTATTTGTACATAATACTTCAAAAATATATCCTAAATACCAATGTAATTTTTATATAATCCATATTAAAATCGTTTAAAAATTTTTTAAAGTTTATATTGAATCATCTGTTTAAATATTAAATTAATTGTTTTTAACAAATATTCCAAAACATATTTATAAAATATAATAATGTAGAATTGTTTCTGATAGAAATAAACAAATTAATTAACTAATAAAAAATAAATAATTTTAATTTTAGATTAATGCAGTTCTGGACATAATATTGGACATCACTTCAAAATGAGAGTTGATAAGATATAACTATACAATCAAAGGAAGAATGATTCAACAAAGCTAATGAGTGAATTGTTTAAGATGTTTGGAAAGTTTTTTGAAGTTTCTGGATCTTTCCACGAGATTCCTTTAAAAAATCAATGTCAGAAGTAGTAATAACTAGTAGAAAAAGCAACCTTCAAAACCATTGTAACTGTTACTTCTGTGGTTGGATTAAAGGATTAAAAGATAGACTCGAAAATATTATATTTTTGTGAATAGTCTAAACTTCAAATTTATGAAGAAAATATCCTGAGTCACCTACATAATACTTGATGATTATTATCAATTTTCTATAAATTTATAAATAATTAATTGTATTGTCTTGCTATTAACATTTAAATAGTAAATCTTGTTTAAAGATATCCATAAAGCTTCTCATCAACAAATTAAAAATTGACATGACTTTTCTTCTTAATTTTTGTTATTATTTATGTTGTATTAAGGAAATCTTTAAAACAATGAAGTTTTTAAAAGTTTCAGCCTTTTCTTTTAACCTTATAAGTGGTCTTTAGATTAATTTAATTTTACACACATAATCTGGATTAGATCGATTATTATACAGTCATAATGTAAAACAAAACAGATAATCGAAAACATTTGTCAGCAACTGATGATAATGCAATATGTTATAATTAGAAATCTCAAAATTTGTTTAAAATTTGAACTTGAAAATAGCTGACTGCTAAAAATATCTCAAATAATTTATATTTTCAGAAACTTGCAGCATAATTACAATATAAATGAACAATACANTAATATAAAAGGTAAATTTGATTCCTCTGGAGATTTATTTTGGATAGAGTTTGGCGCTAAATCGAGTTACTCCATATTGACACTAAGAAAAGAATCGGTTGCTACATTATCTTAATTGAAATAGAGTTAGAAATTCGAATTCATCCTGTATATAAGAGCGAACGATACAAGGAACGTTTTAATAATACGATTACTTGGTGAAAATCATCGATTTTTATCATACTCCAGTGATCGTTCATTAAAGTACGTTCTTAAATCCGTCAGTGAACGGAGTGAAGATTAAGAGATGAAAGAGGAATATTAACCGTGTTCACTAATGTGTTAGGGAAGCAAATGTGTACCGTGCATGTTCTGCTATACGAACGAAATGCCTATCGTCCCTCCGTATTACAATGCAGTAATGGTATCGATCTGTGGAGAAACAGAAAAATCAATGTGATCAAGGTACTAGAATCTAGGTGCCATGTTTGAACAAAGTTTCGTGACAGAGGTCACAACTTCAGGCTAGTATTGACGAATGTTAATCTCTACTCTTCTATTTTGGGATTTTTAACCGTCGTGAAATAATTCGACCGCACGAAGGTCATCTACCACTCAATTTGAACCTCGTTACGTCTAAGTGAAACACTGGTGATCTCGGTTAATTTTTAATGTTCTTACAATGGCAAACAACCGGACAAATAAATCGTTCAAAAATTGACAAATCTATCTTTTAAAAAAATCCGTGCGACTACACAATTTCAAATTGCCCGCTTCCAAAAGGAGAGGTAAAAAGTAACCAATAAACTTAACATTTCAATTGGAAATAAAAATAACAAATGTTTCTTTTTTCTTTCAGGATCCATTAATTTATAAACTATCGTGTAGTTTCGTTCATTGGCCATTAACCGTGAAGTTAAACAACAAAAGGGCGATAAAATTCCTTTAAAGCGTTCTGAATATCCAAAATCATAATGCTACATCTGATTCGATTAAACAAAAGCTGGCAAAATTACTAGATGGCTGCATGTTAACAGTTACAATGGAGTAATAATAACGCTAAACACTAAACGAAATTAATTTCTTAAAAGAGAAAACAATCATTTTGAACTAAAAATTCTTCCAGGAAGACAACTTTGGCCTCCAGCCAATTAATTCCGATGTCCTGCGATTTTTTTTTTGTGTACAGAATATAAAACACCATCGATTTTAATCGGACATAACCCCAAGCGCGTACAGAATGGTATGTGAAGCCTATTTTATCTCTCATCGATTTTGTTAATTCGCCTTTACATGCTGCAATCTATAAATATACCTTAAACAAAAATACAAACTAGTAAAGTGAAGCGATTAGAAGACTGCAACGATTAAAAATAAACTTTTCCTTATAACGCGAAACAATCAAATTAAAGAGTTCAAAGTCCGGTAAATTCTACATGTAATATGTCATATTTAAAGGTAAAAAATAGTAGTAAAAATCGATACGCTTACAACATTATCTGTCACTCTTTGTATCAAAGATCAACAGCGTAGTTCCGATTGTAAAACTGATAGCTCTCATCTTATTTAAACTAACGGAAGATACGAAACAAAATCCTTTCATTATCTATTATTCACAAAGCAATCTATACTGTATATTCTTTCGATGTACAGATATTGGAAAATTTCCGAACTAAAACGAATTCGTTGCCTTAAACGGACAAATAATTTGTTCAAAATGTGCATTTAAAAATTATAAAATCATAATGGATATGGACATTTATAAATATTTTGCCACTATCAAAACACACTTTCTTTTATAATTAAATAAAACAAGAAAACAAATTTTGATTATTTATATATATATATATTTTATAGACATTTTTTTTCCCTCATTTTAAAAAGAAAGCTGATAAAACCAACAAAATATTTGTGTTTCTAATAAATATACATCAAATAAAAATAAATATTTCTCAAATAACTTTTTTTGTAATTTCTGTTTTATTTGTAAAAAATATAAAGTGAATGTTTGTGTTTTTTAAAAGAATGTATTCAACTTAAAAAAAGAATAAACAGAACAAAAGAAAAACACAACTTTGTATTTAACTAACAAAATTCTAACTGAAAACAAGTAAACCTACAACAACAAATGTCTAACCTGTAACAATTAGTGGTATCAGAAGTAAATCATTAGTACAACCTTCTCTCTGTGTCTGGGTGATCACAGCAGGCTGAGGTGTCAGAGCTTGAGCAAACTGACCATAAGGAGCAGGATAGGCTGCTGTATGAAGAGAAACAAAAGAAAAAAATTATCAAAAATGTATAATTATAATATTTCTTATTTGTACATAATACTTCAAAAATATATCCTAAATACCAATGTAATTTTTATATAATCCATATTAAAATCGTTTAAAAATTTTTTAAAGTTTATATTGAATCATCTGTTTAAATATTAAATTAATTGTTTTTAACAAATATTCCAAAACATATTTATAAAATATAATAATGTAGAATTGTTTCTGATAGAAATAAACAAATTAATTAACTAATAAAAAATAAATAATTTTAATTTTAGATTAATGCAGTTCTGGACATAATATTGGACATCACTTCAAAATGAGAGTTGATAAGATATAACTATACAATCAAAGGAAGAATGATTCAACAAAGCTAATGAGTGAATTGTTTAAGATGTTTGGAAAGTTTTTTGAAGTTTCTGGATCTTTCCACGAGATTCCTTTAAAAAATCAATGTCAGAAGTAGTAATAACTAGTAGAAAAAGCAACCTTCAAAACCATTGTAACTGTTACTTCTGTGGTTGGATTAAAGGATTAAAAGATAGACTCGAAAATATTATATTTTTGTGAATAGTCTAAACTTCAAATTTATGAAGAAAATATCCTGAGTCACAATATGATAAAAGTTTTTATTTTTTTATTATGTATATAATAGATATTATTAGTGTTGTCACCAGGCCAGTTTTTGAATTCATGGTCCAGATTAATTATTAATTTGTCCAGTTTTCATAGAAATTGGGAAATTATGATGAAATAAAATAAATTTATAAAAATATTTGCCAAGTATTTTATTTTAATGGTTAAAGACTAACTTTACACTTCACCCAAATTTATCCCCATCTTATCCCTAGGCTAAGAGTGACAGAAAATGTACTTTTAAAATACTAAGTTGCAAAAATCTCTATCAAATATTAAGTTTGTTCCAACACAAGTCCCTAACTGATTTAAAACTGGCATGTATACTGCTCAGTTCTTGGCTGTAAAATGACATTGTGCATGCCTCGTATTTATATTATATATTGTATCAGATACAATGTATCTTTTGTAACTCAATATTATTAATGTTGGTATGTGTTATTATTTATTATTCTTACTTTTACGTATTACTTTTGCAATTAATATCAACATCAGACTGTTATTAATTATTTTTGGATATGCCACATGTGATTATTGTATTACTTTAATACAATGGTTCTCGACCTTTCTGAGGCCACAGAATACCATTCATATACTTTTTATTACAAGAAGAAGTATTAACATCAATACATTCAAAAATTGATAAGCAATTCCATGTTTACTATTCTCAGGAAACAATGAAGCAATAAACTAATAAACTTTAATATATTGAATAANGGCCACAGAATACCATTCATATACTTTTTATTACAAGAAGAAGTATTAACATCAATACATTCAAAAATTGATAAGCAATTCCATGTTTACTATTCTCAGGAAACAATGAAGCAATAAACTAATAAACTTTAATATATTGAATAAAATAGAAACATGGAATTATCTACAAATATCACAATAGGAATAAATTTGAATAAAAACTTTAAGATCTTTTCTTTCATGGAACATTGATGTAGGTTTGCAGAACACTGGTTAAGAACCACTGCGTTAATAATATATTATGCAATACATGTTTACCTACTAATAAAAAAATATTTATTTTCTACTTACAATAAAAAAACCTAATTTTTTTCATTTCTAAGTATAACATCCTAATTTTAAAATGTCCAGGTCAGCAATTTTGAAAAGGTGGCAACACTGGATATTATGCTATAGCATTTATTCTTAAAACAGTAATACTGCTACACTGAATGCATCTTTATTTATTTTTCACATTATTCTGGTTTTTATTAAAATTTATTTGATAAAATTTCAATTAAAAAATAATATTCTTTTGTTTGAATTTCTAATTTTCATATTTCTATGTTAAATATTTCAAATCAAGTCTATATCATCATAATTTAAAAATGTAAATCATCACTATTTCATAAATCCTACACAAAATAATATAGTCTGAAAAACAAGTACTTTTCAAGTGTTTATATTCATTTTACTTACGGATTCCAGGATAAGGCTGAAGACTTGGATACGCAGGTGGCTGCAATGCATCTCCATTGGGAATGGCCTGGGCTATATTATAATTAGAATAATTATAAACATTTGAGTTATATAATATCTAAAATTTCATAAAATTTATCGCAATAGCATGGTTTAAATAAGCTGCCACCTGCATGGTGATATAGAAATAAAGTACACTCTAATTACACTCTAAATTGAAGATACACTCATAATAAAATAGACTGTTCTTTCTTTTGTATAGACTCTTTTAGAACATTCATAGAGAAAGAATAACTAAAAACTGATAGAAAGGAAGATTTAAAACATTTATAAATCAATATATATTCTGAAAACTAAAATATTAGAAATAATAAAAATTAAAATCAATTTTTGATTTTACTTCATACTAAACCATGGCATTGCCATATTTTTAATATATTATTTATTTTAAATGTTTATGAAACTTTAAATAAATTAATAATTAAGTTCATAAGTAAAACTTTGAATAATTTTAAATTTATTTTCAAATGTATAAATATTTATGATTTGATTGTAATCTTGAAGTTTTTTGCAAATTCTTTTATTTATGTTTTAATTTGCTATAAAATCTTTATTTACATAAAATATTTAATTTTCAGCATCTTAAAGATATATCATCTTTATGCTTTTTGAACAATATAATGTTTATCTAGCAATTTACTGAAATTAAAAATTTAAAACATAGTTGAATCATATAAAATACCATATCATATGTTGAGTCATAAGATATAATGTTATTATTACAAAACATATATATTTACCAGTATATTACTTTTAAGTATAATGAAATAACTTTCTTGTGTATTCAAATAAGAAAGCTATTTCTTTTATTAATTACTATACTAAATACTAAAAAGTATTTAGTGTAAATAATACTGTTAAAAAGCTATTTTTAAAAATATTTAAAAAATTCCTTAATATTACAAATGAGAATCTGTCTGAGTCATATTGACTGAACAATAGTATAAATCGAGTGGACAACAAGTCAATTGCAATCGACCGGTCAATCGCAAAACCAATTTTGGTCGATTGCTCGCGATGTCTTGACTTAATGTGTTGCACTTGTAAGTTGTAACTGAATGCAACGCGCAAACGCAATGGCAGTGATATCGGACCTCCTCGTTCTCCCTCAGATGCGGTTTTGTCGGTCCATGTGCAATCCATTTGCGTACAGTTGTAAAAGGGAAATAAGAAATGTAGACAAAGGATCGTAAAACCGAAAAAAAGAAGGGACAAAGAGAGTAGATCGGGACACGGTAGAGAGAGGAAGGGTGAAGGGGTGGTCCCCAAAAGTGACAACATTTCAATTTTTCTTCTGTTTAAAATGTAAGTACCTTTTCTTCGTGTTTTGAATTAAATTGTGGTTTTTCTTATCTATCTAAATATAGTATGTATTTCACACCTCCCCCACCACTTAGACCAGGGATGGGCAACCTTTTTCTGTGTAAGGGCCGCATTTCAAAACTTTTGAACTGACGCGGGCCGCATAAAGATAAAAGTGGGAAAAAATGCCGGTAAATCACAATTATTTATTCATATATAATTATAAATTAGAATAGGTAAACTTAATTTAGCTTCTAGAACTGATGTAAACGTAATGTATCGAAAATATTTGATTAAATATTAGTCACTGCTAGTTTTAAATTAGTTTCGAGGTGAATCTAATAGCCGGTTTCTCGCTTTAATTTTTGCTAAAGTCATTGAAAGGAAAACTATTCACATACATAAGTTGTAGAAAATAACGTTTGAATTTTTGCTGCATACTTCTTAAGCTAGGAAATTGATATATTTATACACATTTTATGCGACGACTCAGGCCAGGGATGCCCATCCCTGACTTAGACTATGCCTACGACAACGAGTCGATCGCCACATATTTTTAAGATAAAAAGTAGATCTTATGTACACAAAAGTTGGTTGCCCCTGGTATAAATAATCACTAAAATAAAACTTTACCAGAAACTAGGCTATACTATATAGTACAAAAATTCACTACTTTTATATTCACCCAGCTGATTTTTATGAAAAAACAAACATATTCAGTCTACTTTCTAAGACCTGCTTCAGGTGAAAAAGTTTCATCTATTTAAAAATTTTTCACTTGAAGCATAAGTAGACTGAATATGATTGTTTTTTTGGAAAAATCAGTTGAGTGAATATAAAGGTAATGAATTTTTGTACAAAATAATCACTATCAATATGTAAATTTTCGACTATAAATTCGTATCTTCTATTATCAGGACTTATTATACTGGTTTTACAGATAATATTACAAAGATTAACAGAAAACAATTTTTATTTTATTTCGTAAAAATTGTTTTCTGTTAATCTTTGTAATATTATCTGTAAAACCAGTATAATAAGTCCTGATAATAGAAGATACAAATTTATAGTCGAAAATTTACATATTGATAAGAAAAAAGGACATTGAGGCAATTTAATTAAAATAATCACTAATTCACAAGCTAGTTATTTCAGTTTATTGTAGTTTAATTTCATACAAGAAACAATATGCATAAGAGTGTTTAACTGTAAAAATTTTTTAAATTTAAAAACAAATATTAACTGAACTAGAAGTGTGATAAAGTTATAATTGGATTCTCAAAGGTAAAAAAGGAAACTAGTATAAACACCTTTAAAAGTCTAGAAATACTATAGTGGATAAAATGTTTTTGGTCATTTTAAACAACCTTCCATGGATAAATCCATGTAATAGAAATGAAAAAGAATAGAATGTTACAAAAATTTACTGAGTTTACCCTATAGCTATTGAAGATCAACAGTTTGGGGTGGATATGGAGTATATAGATGAAATGTCTAGATTAGTGTTGCGCAACCCATTTTATTGTTAAATAAATTTCTTTGAATTTGGCAACCCTGAAAAATTCAAAGAAATTTCTTTAACAATAAAAAACATAAGGCTTTTCTTCAACAAGTATCAGGTACCAGTAAAATAGTGAAATAAAATTACAGTAGTACCTCAGGATACGAAATTAATCCATTCCTAAACTGAGATCATATCATGAAAATGTTGTAAGATGAATCATTTTTTCCCATATGATTACATGTAAAACCAAATAATCCGTTCTGTGGTGGTGCCCACCATATATATATATATTTTTTTTTTCCTCCCTTCACGAAAGCTTAAATGTGGTGTTTCTTTCATACTAAAATATTATTATTTATGTGTATTATTAGTAATGTTATGTCAATGTAATTATTCATGTGTTATAATATTTGTCTGTATTTTCTTTTTCTAATTTGTATTTTGGAATGTAACACGAGGGGGTGCTAGGAGCAGTTTGTATATAAGGAATGTAAAAGGAGCATGGGATACCTTTTTCTGTTCAAAGACGTAGCGGTAGGAGGGAGAAAACGACGGACTGAGTGAAAAAAGGAAGAGAAAGTTGAGAATAAAGACAACCAGTCTTATTGTATGTATAGTTTCCCTATGATCCCATTCTGGCTGTATTCCTAGTTTTAATATATGATTATCTTTGTTCTTAGTGTCATCTGTTTTTTTCTTTGTTTGTCCAAAACACGACACCCCACAGTTCCAACATGAAAAACACACTCAAATTAAAGCTAAGTAGTACATTGAAAAAAAATAACTTTAGTAAGGAAAACACTGAAAAATGCATTTTGTAGTTGTAAATGTATAAATAACCATAATAGAATAATAATTGATTAAAAAATGTAGTTTTATTTGCACTTTACCTTTGAGCAGCGCTGTCCAACTGGCGGCCCGCGGGCCGTATGCGGCCCGCCAAATAATTTTTACGGCCCGCGAGTACATTTTACTATGAATAAATTTATGTTACTAAATTATTATTATTAATATTAAAATTATTTTACTATGTGAAAATTTAAATCTAATTNTCCCCGAAAATAAGACAGTGTCTTATATTAATTTTTGCTCTGAAAAATGTGCTAGGTCTTATTTTCAGGGAATGTCCTATTTTTCCAGGAAGAAGAATTCACATTTATTATTAAACAAAAAATTCCCAAGTCGAACTTAGACGAGAGTGACGTATATCCGGTGTGTCGAACTGTCGCCTTTTTATAGCGTCAACATCGGACTCGCTGACCAATTAGTGCTTACTGAACCGTAGCACAATGCAAATGTCATGTGGTTTATCAACCTTCTTGGCCCCCGAAATGTTTGGTGAAGAAAATATGGCCCGCGGGCTATGATAAGTTGGACAGCGCTGCCTTTGAGGATAGACAATGGTGGAGGTGTAAACTAGTGCCGGAGGAGAGGAAGAAGGGAAATGATGCTAAAACTTAACTTGCATAACATAATGTAACAATAACTTAAAAATAACTTAACACTAATTTTTTTATCTTTTCTGTTTTATATATTTTTTTTAATTTTTTATTCACTAGTTTTTGCTTTCTTTCCTTCACTTTCACTGGATAGAGGTCGCTTGGTAAAATATCTATCCAAAGAGGCTTGGCTGTGCCTACTTTTTAAAATGTTTCTAAAATGACTTAGGCAAATGTCATTACTCCGAGCAGCAATACAGCCAGTGTGAACCTTTATCAGGATGTTTCTTTTCAATAAAATCAGTCACTTTGTGATAATACCTAAAGATTTCCTTTATCAAGTGAGATCCTTCCATGGCAAAGCAAACACACGGACTGAGACCAATGAACAGAAGGAACATGTGATCATGGCAGTGGTGCAGTGGCATACCGTGGGTGTCAGCTGCCTGGGATGGAGGAAAATTTCGCCCCCCTTATTTAGGTATTTCAATTTAAAAGACCAAAATTCAGTTTTGTCACAGAACAAGCAATGAAAAATTCGGTAGTAGTGCAGCAACCTGTTTAAAATAGTTCTATTGGATATTAGTGGTGCATATGAACGCAAATGAATCGTACAAGCAAGAAAAAAAGGTCAACAGGTTTCGCAGGATTTCCTTGGATAAAAAATTACTAGTTCACCCAGACGGCGAGCCGATTCCCAGACTGTCTGGACGATAGCACTATCATAGGCGCAATGCAAGTATAGATTAGGATGTTTCAAATTTTTA